AATATCCTCACCTGAGTCCCAATTAAAAAATATTTAAAAGAAAAAAAGACTAGCGGGGGGGGGGGGAAATGGGGGACTTCCTTTTTACTAATATCACTATTTTTCAAATATTCATTGTAATTTTGATGTATATTCAAAATCATATACTTACTAAAATAGAATATAAGAATAAATTTATTATGATTAAAAATTGTATAATATTTACTTCTAACCTTTAAAATCATTGATTCTTTATAATCATCTAATGCATTTAATTATTTAACTAAATATTTAAACTAACATTTTATCATAGAATTAATCAAAAGATGATTAAATAAAAACTTAAGATCATAATTTGATTGAATATCTTTTCGAAATCTATTTCTTCAACAGATTTACTTCTAAAATAATGAATTAATTAGATTTCAATAATGAATATCAAATTTTGATAAATTCTTTTCATAAGAGTACAATTCAATAATATACTAATAATTCAAACGATTTTGTTGTGTTATCAGCTCCTTTTATTACTATATTATTGTTAATAAATTTATGACAAATCTAAAATATATATATACATATATAAGAAAATGAAATTAAGAAAAAAAAAATATTCTTAATTACTTTATCAAGAATAACTGTGAAATCTTGTTCACTATTAAAAGATTCTTGTAGAAGTTTGAAAAATTTTATATGAATATTAAGAATTGTTTCAACATAAACTTTTCGATTCTTATATAAATAAAAGAAATGAATATACATATTAGATGGAAGAAAAGACTTAGTTTATATTGAGTGCAATGTCATTAATTCGTTTGATAGAATCAGTATCTATTTGATGGATATGATGATCTTCAAAAAATTTTTTTTTAATTCAACAGTTGCATTTAATACTTGATTCACTAATTTGTACAGAAGACTCAAATCTATAAAAAAAAATAAAGTAAAATAAAATTATTTAATATTTCAAGATGATTGTGTAAAATCTTTTCTCTACATACCTGAATGTTTGTTGTTTTGTTTTGTTTTGTTTTTCTAATCATGTAATAATATTTTGGCTTCAACATAGATAACTTCAAGTTGATCATGAATCAATACTTTTTCAACTTTCTTGATTAATCCTATTAATGTTGATGAATGTAAATATGATTGTACTCGATGTATTTCTTCATCTAGATGTTGTGCTATTTATTAAAAATCTTATTATATATTTCATAATTATTTATCAACTAGATAAAATCTTTTTTTTTGAATATTCACTTATCGAATTGTGAACAAGAAAAGTAACAATTTTAAGATGATAAAAATGTTCTGTATCATAAAAAAATTGTGCTTCAAAGTAATTTTTGTAAATTTTTAATGTTGAAAATGTTATTTTTATTACTATTATATAATACAGATGAATTTTCAATAAAATCAAGTTAAACTAAAATTTTCAAAATAATTTTTAACAATAAAAAAGATATTTTTTATCTTTATTATAATTTTGTATAACTTCGTTAATTAATCGAATATTAATCAATTCATTGTTATGTTCATCTTTGATTAATTGAAGACATGCTAATATTACTTGTCTATTTAATGGTTGAAAAAATACTAGCTGACAAATTTTTATAGCCATTTAAATTTTTATTTATTAAATGAATTCTATGATTATTTTATTTTTTTCTTTATTTTAATTTATGATAAATATTCAAAAAATATATATTATTTAATAAAATCTAAATAATTCATTTAAAAAAAAAACTTATTATGTATTTTAATATTTCTTTTTTTTTGAATTTTGTTAAAATTATTCAATTAAGAAATTTTTTTATCAATAAAATTTCATTTTCTATTCAATTTTTTTTCTTTTTCTTTTTCTTCTATTCTATGAAGAATTATCATATAATATAAGAGATAAATATATCAGAATAATATTATATATCTTTCTATTTTAAATGCAAAAAAAAAAAAAATAAATGAATATAATAAACAATGAAATATGTTGAAAAATCTATATGTTTTCAAATATAATAATTAATATCTATAGTTAAGTTCATCAATGCTTTTCAATATGAATATTTTTATATTCAAGACGTAGATAATGTTTTGCTATACATTGAATTAAACAAATTTGATTATCGTTCAAATTATTTGTATATAAAAACAAAATAAAATATTTCTTTGTTTTTTTTTGAAAGAGAAAAAAAAACAATAACTCACGAACAAATTACAAATTCTTGATGATGTCGAGATTTTTGCATTCGATGAATTGATTCAGACAATAATGAATAAAGACTGTCTAATTCTTCTATTAATTCATTTGATTTAATCATTTTTTCATCATTAGATAATTTATTCCAATCGATTTTCATACATTTAAATACATCATCAACAATACAAGTTATCATTGGATAGCTGTTGGAAGAATTAAAACTCATATCAAGCATTTTTCTATATAATTTTTTTATTGACATTGGTGTAGTTGTATTTGGTTGCATAATACCTTGTAAATAACCATGAAATCGTTCAATTAAATGACGACTATGTAAAGTACCTTCATAAAACATAATTTTGGGTGTGCGGTGTGGGTGTGGGTGTGGGGTGTGGGGTGTGGATGTGGGTGTGGGTGTGGGTCGGTGTGGGTGTGGGTGTGGGGTGTGGATGTGGGTGTGGGTGGGTGTGAGGTGCGGGTGTGGGTGAGTGAGTGAATGTCTTCCACATTTATATCGAAATTCATAATCACACCCACACCCCTAAGAGAAGACTATTTTTTGTTGGTTTTGATAAAATTTCAATACATTGTTCAATTTGATGATTATGTCCAATAACTAAAAGAAATAAATAAAAAATGTTTTTTTAAATAAAATTATTTTACCAAGATCAAATTGTTGTTTAGCGTCATTTATCAAATTGTAACAATATCTTTGAATTATTTGAGATTCCTAAATAAATTAAATGATCTTAATTTGAATTTGAATAGAACAAGAAAAAGTTTTATTGGATGATGTTCTTCAAGCTATCTTAAGGCAAAGATGACGCTGGATTATGTGCAATTAAGAGAAATGATATTAGTTAGACTTTTTGCTCATGTATACTTTGAGGGTATTCATGTCTGTCGAATGAAAACAAGTCTTGAAATCTTGAAAATTGTTCTTTTATTAGAAAAACGAAAAAAAGATTATTTTTAACTAAAAAAAAATAGTTCTAAAAATATTTTAGATGAGAAAAAGAAATTTTTATGCGGATTTATCGTTTTTTTTTAATTTCAATTTTTTCCTTTTATTTATATTGTTATAAAGATTTTTTTTCTTTCTTAATACATAGTATTAGTCCCTGATCTATATTTTCTCTTGTTTTATATATCATTAACAGCAAAAGAAAAAGATTCTTACATTGGAATGCATTGCCGAATAAACAAAATCTAAAAAGCGAAATAAAAATGTTATTTATTGACATCATCAATTGGAAATTCAATTTAATAAATGGAACCACTTATACAAGTTAGAAATAATTTCATGAGAAAATAGAGAAAAATCATTTATTTCCAAGATTTTTTTATATTATTAACGGAAGCTAACTTTTAATTATGTAGTCAATATCAATATAAAAATTTTTCTCTCTTTATTTAAGAATTACAAAAAGAATTCAAACGATATTTTTGGTGTTGCTGCATTCAGTATCAAAATTTGAGTGAATATATAAAAATTCTACTGACTCTAATATCAGTTTATCGTCTACTAATTACATAAAAAATTTATTCGGAAATAATTTATATCTACAGTAGAAGCTCTACTACTAGTGAACACCTCCTATGTAAACACATATCTCGGTCCCTCGTCCAATTTTAGCTGTAAGCAGACCTCTATATAATAAACACCTTCTAACTCTGAACAATGAACACTTTCATTGGTTCCTTAGCGAAGAAAACCTCTACATAGTGAATGTATGTGCAACGAAATATGTGCGTGTGTAGGAAACACAAGAAAAAGAGAACATAGCGTTCATTCTTAAGGGATGCTAAGTCAATTCATCACCGACCTATTCATCACAGAAAAATTCGTCGCGTGTACGAAACAAAAGGAACGGTGAAAATGAATAATCTGTGATGAGTTGATCGGTCGCATTATTGTAAGCGTCTTCGGATGCAACAATAGATGAAGCATACTCCAAAAAAAAATCGGTCGCATTTGAAAGAACGACGAACTTTTCTATGCATTTACGATTCTGAAATGACCAAGAGATACGCATTTACCCTTTGCCTCCCAGCGACGTATAAATACGTCTAATTGCAGTCATTGAATAACTATGTCACTAACATATTCTTTAATTATTTGGAAAAGCGTTTTATCTGTTAGATCACTGATTAGGGTCGTCACATCATGCTAGAAATCTATAATCGCTATACTTGTCATACATTCTCTTTCGCTGTTCTACGTGTTCGAGATGCAAAAATTCTTCAAAGTTCATTTCAAAGACGACGTATTTGCGGTGTTACAAACCGTCAATTTCTGTTAATTCCTCAGAGTAGATACGACTAGTTTTGATTGCTGTATTCTATGGTAGCATTAATTTTAATCGAAATAGGAAAAAAAAGATACTATAATTGACCGAGATTGGTAAAAATAATGCGAATTTGCGAATTTCTAGGTAATTTCGGTCAATTTTAGTATTTTTTTCCTATTTCGATTAAAATCGACACTATCATAGAATAGAGCAATCAAAACTGGTCATATCTTATCTGAAGAATTGACAGAAATTGACAGTTTGTAGCACCGCAACTAGGTCGTCTTTGAGATGACCTTTGGAGAATTGGTGCATTCCTACTACATATGGGAAAAGAAGCTGGAAGTCAAGGGATTAAACAGACACGTATGCCAGAACTTTCGGAGGAGAAGGGACTGACCACTAAAAAAAAAAACATTTTCCAAAGGCGAAATTTTTTGCTGTATCCTCCTACGGAAATTTTTCCTTGAGGAGGGAACTAGATCTCTCCTCTTCAGTACATGCCTGTCATTGACTCTCTCAAAAAAGACACAGTTCATTTTTGAAAATGAAGAAAAGCTTTCGCACTGCACAAGATATACCTTTTTTTTTATCTTCCGCTAACTGAGCTGAATTATAATACGAAAGGTGAATAGTCATCAATCGGTCATCCTAACCATGCACTGTATGCATGCCACAGTTGAGTCAATGCAAAACATCGGTAACTATGTTGTTCGTCGAAAAATTTTTGTCGAAAGACACTTCGTCGACACGATATTTCGTCGACAAGCATTTCGTCGACATAACACTTCGTCGACTAACATTTCATCGAAAAGTTTTTGTCGACACGACACTTCGTTGACAAACATTTCGTCGAAAAATTTTTGTCGACACGACACTTCGTCGACGTACCATATCAAAAAAAAGTTAACTATAACATGATGTATTTTTTTTATAGGAAAAAAATCGTATAACGTAAATATTAAACGACCAGTTTATTGAAGAACACTAACCAATAAATACAGAAAATCAATAACAACAAGATACAGAAAATATATGAATAGAAAAAAGAACCATATATGTTTTGACTTCTATTTTTTGTGTGCAACCAAAAGTGAAAGTCCTTCGAGGTATTCAATGAGTGTGATTTCTTTTTTTGTATATCGATTAGCCAAATTTTCGAGGCATTCTTGAATTCGACAAGTCTTTTTTCCGCGCTTCTTTTTTTTCCCATTTTGACATGTTGAACAGTTTGTTTAACATAAACTTCTTCTTGTTGAAGAACTTTAATAAAGTGCCAAATGTTGGGGTATTTTTTTTCAATACGATTGGCAAAACGATTGTGCCAACCTGCGGAAAAGATGCGTAAGTTTCGAAATACAGTATAATTAAGAAGGCTTACCTTCGACTATGTTGTTGGTTTTTATTTTGATATTTGAAACATTCCATAATTTGAGTGGTAATGACTCCATCCAAAATGATTCGTAATAATTAAATAATGGATCAAGACAGGCTGGATGATTATCAACGAGATATTCAAATGCTAAATTCATTTTTTCAAGTGGTAGTAGAGGAACTGCCATCAATTTTCTGGCATGAGATCGAACTTCTTCATCATTTTTGTATTGAGATGAGAGACCAAGTGATTGTATCTTCTTGTAAACGCTTTGAGTGTGATGAAAGTAACACCCCAAATGACGCGAATTATGAAACTAATTAAACGAGAAAAGGAATAGGATTATTTCATGAAATTAGCTAAGAAAGTTAAGTAGGAAAAAGCATACTTGACGTTTGATAGCTTTAATTAAGCCTGGCTCAAAATCACTTGTTATCGTATCAGGTCCAAATGTAAGCTCAAGTTCTTTAGCTTCATTATCGAGTAAATCAAAGATATATTGATAAATCATCGCTGATCGACCAGGTAGTAAAGCAATGATGCATGGTATTGCTAAAGAAGCAGAGTTTTAAAAAGAAGAGACAAAAATTTTAACTGACCTTGATCATGGTGAATACAATGCATAGTAAAAACCAGATCGAAGTATGGAGGACAAACGGTGAAAGTTCCATCCATAAAAATGTGCGATGATTGAAAAAAAATGGCCAGTTGAAGACCGGTAGCAAATGCAAGTACACGTTTGTTTCGAACAGTAGTATCAGAAAGAAGGAAATTATTGCCATCTAAAGTTTGACTGTATCGATCTGGTATTTCAAAATCACCTGATACTGGAAGAGGTGGTGTTGTTTTTCGACGTAGGCGTTGGAAAGATGATTCTAATAGATATAAAGGGATAAGTGCTAAAATTAAAAGATGAGATCACAAGTACTTACGAGCTTCTCTCGACGTAGGTGCAATTGATAGAGCTGGAAGAGTTAGTTGTGCAGCTGCTAGTTCTTGATCATATATACGAGCAATAGGTGTAGATTCTTCGAGAACACGACGCTTTACTTCATATTTGAATTGAATTAATTCGATGCGTTCTGGTGTTGGTACATGATTATGATTGCCACTACGAGTCTTCAGATGATCATTTTTGTCGGTATGAATGATGGCAGAACATGATCGTTCTTGGCATCGCCAATACTTGACACAACCTCGATCTTTGTTCAAATTATACATATAACCATCGTATATTAATAATTGTTTTCCTTTCGATGTTGTTGAGAATTTGAGAGCAAGAGTATTCATATTTAGTAAACGATATTAAAATACCAGAGAACGAATAATAAATCACCAATAAGTTATAATATAGTGGGAAATATAAACAGAAAAGTGATAGTTCGCAGTTGAAATTCAAAAGAGCAAATGACGATTAAATGTGAATGATCATTATTTATAGCATATATTCAACGGCGGTCTGATTCTTTTGCTTTGTTACCACACATACAAAGATAATTAAAAGACAGGTTGAACATTTATCTCGACGATGAGAAAATGAAAAGAACCATATAATTATCTTTCAATAGAACATTCTGTCGACGAAATTTTTTTCTACGAAAATTTTTCGACGAAATGTCCTGTCGACGAAATGCTTTTCTACGAAACATTCTGTCGGCGAAATGTTTTTCTACGAAAATTTTTCGACAAAATGTCTATTCGACGAAAGTGTCGTTCGACAAACAACATACCATTCCAAAACATCCATATAATGAATATCTCTTTTAGTAAACACTTTTTTGATAGTCCCGTTGGTGTTCACTACGGAGAGGTTTTACTGTAATTATATTTGCATAAATAGTTTTTCAAATTTTGTTTTTCTATTTTAGATTGTCATCGTTTTTAATCATCTCTTATTTGCACGTATTTCATATATATATATATAAACGAAAATATTTAGCAATGACAAGCATAAATCTTTATGTTTTATCTTACTTGAATGTCGTATGAAAGCTTTTAATGCAATTTTATCATTTTGAAGTTCTTTTTTCGTATTAGAAACATTTTGGCCTTTCCAGATCCATGTATATTGACTTTTATCATTCGATTTTAAATCGGCAATAAACATTGTACCCAATTCAGTAGAATTTGGTGGATTAATCCATTCCACACCTATGCATCCTGTTTTTGAAATGCAATTATATTTGAGCCAAACACCTGGTCGATCAAGAACACTTTCATCACAAGATCCTTTAAAAAAGAATAGAGATATTTTTAACCATTCTAATCATCTATGAGTAATGAGTTATATTTCTACTTTATTAACATTCGTAAAGGACGTCGTATTAAAAATCGCTTTTTTTTCAATTTTTCCCACCCTCGCTCCCTTAGTCCGGAGTTGGCTCGTTCTGATCACCTCTCTAATAGATTTCCATAGAAAAGGAAAATGAATTTTGAATAAAAATTCAATTAAAATTTAAATTGACAAAATATTAAAAATTATTTAAATAAAATTTTATTAAAATAATTAAAAAAACTATTTATTATAAAATAGTCAATCAAAAAAATGTAAGATTTATCTCTTGTTTGGTCAATAAAAATCTTAATAACTAGCTTTTTGAATTTAATGTCAAATATTTTTTTTTTTAAAGAAATGCTGTTTAAAAGAATGATATTTGAACTAAC